TGTTTTTTTTTAAATTTATTCATTTACTTAATTTGTTATATATGACAGCAGAATGCATTTCAATTCACAGAACACATATAGAGCACAATTTTTCATGTCTTGGTAGTGTAGAGTAGAGTCACAGCATTTGTGTCTTCATATTGTACTTAGGGTAATGATGTCCATCTCAGCCCACTCTCCTCTTTGCCCTATCTAAAATTCCTCCATTCCTTCCATGCTCACCTGCAAATCCTCATTATTCATAAGCATCCTCATATCAGAGAAAATATTCAGCATTTGTTTTTTGGGGATTTGCTTATGTAACATAGGATAATATTCTCCAACTCCATTCATTTGACTGCAAATGCCATGTTTTACTCTCTTTTAATGCTAAATAATATTCCATTGTGTATATATACCACAGTTTTTTTATCCATTCATCTACTGAAGGACATCTAGGTTGTTTCCACAATTTAGCTATTGTGAATTGTGCTGCTAAAACATCGATGTGGCTGCATCACTATAGTATGGTGTTTTTAAGTCCTTTGTGTATAAAACAAGAAGTGGGATAGCTGGGTCAAATGGTGGTTTCATTCCAAGTTTTCCAAGGAATCTCCATACTTCTTTCTCTATTGGTTGCACCAATTTCTACAAAAAAGTCTGCTGGAATTTTGAGTAATTTTGCATTGAATTTGTAAAATAATTTGGGGAACCTAATGCTACTGAGGTTTCTAATTCATAATATGACAGATCGTTCTAATTTTTAAGATTTCTTTACTTTGTATCAATATTTCTTTGAACATAGTTTTATAAACCAAATAGACAAGGCAGTAATTAAGAAAAACAATTTAAAACACATATATTGTTCAAAGATTTTTATGTATAAAATGTAAAGAGCTCTTTCAACTCAATAAGAATACAAAGACCCAAGTTTTAAAATGGGCAAATGACTCTTTATAAAAGAAGATATACAAATGACCAACAAGCACTTGAAAATTTGCTCTAAAAAATATGAACCATGAGGGCTGGGTATGTGGCTCAAGCGGTAGTGCCCTCGCCTAGCATGCGTGGGGTGCTGGGTTTGATGCTCAACACCACATAAAAATAAAACAAAAATATTGTGTCCACCTAAAAAACTAAAAAATAAATATAAAAAAAATATGACCCATGAGCCAAATTCAGTCATTCACCTACTTTTATAAAGTTTTATTGGAACAAGGCAATGCTGTTTGTTTAAATACTGTCAATAGCTGATTTCATGCCACAGTGGCAGAGCTGTTGCACCAGAGACTGAACAGCCTCCAAATTTGAAAATGATCTGATTGTGTATGGGAAAAATTTGTTGACCTCTGTTCTACATCATAAGTAATTAGAAAAATACAAGAGAATGTCACAAGAAGATACCACTACACATCATTATGTTAGTTAAAAATAGACGACTAAATCAAGTGTCTACAAAGGTACAAAAACAATTATCTAATTTAGAATCTATTTAGAAACACGTTCCTTTCAGTGTGAAGGGCTCACCCTAATATGACATTAATATTATAGGAGGGACAAGAGCCTCTTCAGTGACTCTACCTGAGGACCAAAGTGTGCTTTTGAAGGGACCCCAGGGTAGGTGTGGTGCAAATTTCATATTTCAATAGTCCTATTCTTTCCTGGTATGTCCAACATCCCAACCAACTCCTTCTGACCCACTTCAGACACACTCCAATGGAGGGCAACAAATGTTTCTAGCTGACCTCACCAATGGAAAAATCTCCTTTCATCAGAAGAAATCATTGCCCCCAAAGAAAGATTCAAGCATGTATTTCAGTGCTCTGATTGATGCCTGGGTTACTGGACACAACCTTTAAAGGTAATTTTGCTGCATATTTAATTTTGGTGCATGATTATACAGAATGGTGGATTTCACTGCAGTGTGTTTGTATATGCACATAATATAATTTTATCAGTTTTACTTCCCACTACCTCCGCTTGCCGTGTCCCTCCTCCTTTTCTCTGATCCCCTTTTTCAGACATAATGGTCTCCCTTTTATTTTCATGTAATATTTTTATTCTATTTATCTCCTTAGCTTCCATCTATGAAAGAAAACACACAACACCTACCTTTCTGAGTCCAGCTTATGTTGCTTAACATGATACTCTACAGTTCCATCCATTTTTTTTTGCAAAAGACAGAATTCCATTCTTTATGACTGAATAAAACTTCATTGTGTATACATTCCACATTTTCTCTATCCATTCATTTATTGACAGACACCTAGACTCATTCCATAACTTGGATATTGTAAATTATGTGTCAATAACATAGGAATGCATGCATCTCTAAAGTATGCTATCTTTAACTTTTTGGGTAGATACTGAAGATACTGAAGATTGGTATAGCTAGATCATTTGATATTTCTATTTTGCTCTTTGAGGGGCCTCCATGGTAATTTCAATTTTGGCTGAACTAATTTACATTCCTCTCAACAGTGTATAAATATTCCTTTCCCCCTGCCTTCTTGCCAGCCTTCATTGTTATTTGTATTCTTGAACATGGCCATTCTGACTGGAATGAGATGGAAATCTCAGTGTAGTATTGATTTGCATTTATGTGATGGTTAAAATTGCTGCCCATCTTTTCATATCATCATTGGCCATTTGTACTTCTTCTTTGCTAAGTGTCTGTCTAGCTCATTTGCCCATTTATTTAATGGGTTATTTATTTATTTATTTAATTGAACACAACCTTTGAAGAAGCTGTAGGAAATTGTACAGTGTTATCTCCACATATGGCCACAAAGGGGCAATGCTGCTTCAGTGAAGGTTAATGTTTATCTCTCTTACACATATTTAGCAAGTAGCAAGAGATCATTCTTTAAAATCTAGTAAATTACCTCCTCCACTGCTTCAGTATATTTGGATATCAAATATATAGCTGTATGTTTATCTATCTATCTATATACCTAAATAGTTTCTGTTATCCTGGTCTCACAGGGTTGAAATTGACTTTGGAAGGGAACACTTCTTTGAAGACATATGATGTCCTTCAAGGTCAGGGCCATATTAACTCTTTTAATGGACGTTTATAATGTTCTCTCCCACCCATGTGGCCCAATCTTCTGACACACTGAGTTAAAATTACACTAGTCTTTTTATTGGGAAATCCAATAATGGTTTAAGGCCCAGTCCAAGCCCCTCCTCTGCCAAGACTCTTCTCTGACTGTGTCCAGAAGCTGACTTCCTTACTCTTCCCTGTGTCATTTTCTCCAGACACACATGTCTCTTTGGTGAGTTTTACTTTGCTCTCCTTGACTATTGGGACTGGCTAACTGAGGATTAGGACTGTGTCTTTCATGACTGAGGTGCAAGTACTATTCATTTGTAGGTATTTACTAGGCCCTCAAATAAATATTAAGCAGTTCCTTCCTATCTTCAATTTCACTCCCAGTCTTCCAGGTTCCTATAGACAACTGTGGTCTGAATATTAAATTGGAAATTCAGATACATACAATTTATAAGTTTTAAATTGCCCAAATTCTGAGTAGCCTGACTTAAATCTCCTCCCATCCTGATCCATCCCACCCAGGACATGAATCAGTCCTTTGTCAGTACATCCTTGCTGCTTATGCCACCTGCCCATTTGTCACTTAGTAACATCTCGGTTATCAGAATGACCAGTATCACAGTGTTTCTGTCCAAGTAATCCTTATTTTATTTAATGAGGACTCCAGAGTGCAAGAGCAGAGGTTCTGACAATTTGAATAAGCCAAGGAAAAGCTATAAAGTGTTTCCTCTGCGAGAAAAGAGGAAATATTATCATAGGTGTATATGTATAGGAAAAATAGTAGAGAGAGAGTTCAGTATTATTTGCTGTTTCATGCATACACAGGAAATCTTGAAACATCTCCTATACATAACAGGGTGCTATCCTATGTTGAATACGTGTCGAATAAATGAACACATGAGGAAATGACAAAGAAAAGTTTAAAATTTACAAAAGTAGTACAAAATTCTAGGACATCAGAATGAAATGGGAAGAGACAGATTGAGGAATGTGGACCATCATCTCCAATTGCACTGGGATGATATTTCTCCTTGATTAGATTTGAGAAGACATCAAATACTCTCTTTAGTAATAATAATATCTTCCTTAATCTTTTTAACTTCTATTACTTATAATATAACCCATCCCTATGTTTTGGATTACTTTAGAATGTATTCTCAGTTTCTGACTCTAAGGTCAAATTGATTCTTTATATGCTCATAATTCATCCATGAGAATAAAGTGTGAATAAAGCATTAAATACTTATTCAAACTCGGAAAAAAAGTTACCCAAACTCTGAATTATTGGGTGGCAACTTTAGCCTCATATCTTCTGAAGTTTGGAAGTTTTTCAAGTCTTTTGTCTATCTGAAGATCAGAGTTCTTCCAGAGAAGATAATCCCAGTATTTCCTAGTTTCTTACTTCAGGTATATTCTTAGAAATATTTAATTTCCCTCATCCACATTTTATACTACAAAGAAATTGACATTTATTTAATTATCTTCTAACATTTTCTAGGGTAATGTAAAATATAGGCACATTGAAGTTCCCTGAGGAGAAAGGAACCAGTTTTATTCTGCGTGTTCTGATCCACACTCTTAGCTAGCAATGGAGTATTATGCCCATTGTGTCCCCCAAAATTTTATTAGTATTTGTAATAAAAATGAAATTCCTCTATTCTTGCTAATCTTGTGGCTTCAGGGGATTCTCTCTCTTCCACTACTGTCATATAAAATGATTTCTACTGATGTACCCAACTGTCATAGAGTATGATTTTTAATATTCCAGGAGAAATGAAGTAAAGGTAGAAGGAGATTAGCAGAGATGAATTTTAAACTTATCCTTATCCATGTGTAAGGAGGGGATTTTTGATTCCCCCTAAATGTATTTTCAACAATTCTAAATTTGGACAAAACAGGAAGTGCTTCCTTGTCAGAAAGGTTTCAGCAAACTTACTTGTGCAAAGGTGGAGTCTGTTGATAGAATTGCAGTGCTCACAAACTTAGAGTGAAGCTCAGCTGTCTGGGGAGACTAGAAGACCAGCTGGGTTCTCACTGGGCTGTGGCTCCTGGAGGAATGGACAAGATCCTGGGAGCATCACTTTTAATCCTAGGCCTTCACCTCACCTGTGAGTTGTGGAGGAAAAGCCCCAGCTCGTGTGATTAATACCGGGAGATGGAAAATTGAGACACAGGCAAATCTTGCAGGTAGGAGATTTAAGAGGGAAATATAAATTTGTTGGCCTAATGACCTTTTGTCATCTTTCCAAGCAGGGGTGAGTGGCCAGCAGAAGGGAAAAAGTGACCAGCAGCAAGTGAAGCAAAGTCCTCAATCTCTGACTGTCCAGGAAGGAGGGATTTTAGAGCTGAACTGTTTGTATGAAAACAGTGTATTTGACTACTTTGGATGGTATCAGCAATTGCCTGGTAAAGGCCCAGCATTATTGGTAGCCATCAGTTCAATTAGAATAAAAGAAGAATTTGGACGATTCACAGTTTTCTTCAACAAAAGTGCTAAACATATCTCCTTGCACATCAAGGACTCTCAACCTGGAGATTCAGCCACCTACTTCTGTGCAGCAAGAGCACAGTGCTCTCCAGGCACCTGCAGCCTGAACTCAAACCTGCATCTGAGGCCCCAGCCAAGCCTGCTGCAGGCCTTAGACTGACAGAAACACAGACTGGCTTTCACTTGCACAGATAGGTGATGAAGTAAATGTATGGATTCACTAGTGCAGGTGCATGAAAGGGTAGTTGTTAAAGTAAATTTAAAAAACTCAATTTAATGAGTAACCAACCTGCAGAAATTTTTTCACAATAAAGTATTTGGGGTTGTCATCACTATTTAATCAGTTCTAGGTCAAGTGGCTCTTTATACATTGCTGGTAGAATGCATTTGGTCTGACTATATTAGAAAGTCTTTTGGCAGTTTTTTATAAAATGATTTATCATATGGACAGAAATTCCATTCCCACATATTCATCAACAAGAAATGAAAATAATTATCTATAACAGAAGGACTTTTGTTTAAGGTAGTCTTATCCATAATAATCCACATTCCCAAATTGGAAACAACAAAATGTTCACTAAATGGTGAATAGAGTTATGAATTATGGTTTATTTCTATAAATAAATTCTATGAATTTGTATGAAATACTATACAGCAATAAAATGGGCTAAGCTAATGATACAGGTAACACAAATAATAGATCTAAAAATGTGTATGCTTCCTTGAATGAGAATCATGGGCATCATAGTGAAAAAAGTAATCTCAAAAAGTAATTAAAAATAAACACAGAATGCATATTTGACTTATGTAAAATTTTTAAATGGAAAAAATATATATATAGGGATGTAGATAAGGGCAGGGAGCCATAGTTTGCCTGTGAGAAGGGTGTGCATGAGCAGTGTTTTTCTGCTGATGGAGCCATTCTGGGTCCTGATGTAGTGGTGGTTACAAAGCCCTATGCATGAGACAAAATTTCACAGAATTGTACACACACACACACACAAAGAGAAACAGAAATTGATTAGTCAGAACAAGTTCTGCATTTTAATGAATAATATTGTATCAATATCAATTTTCTTGTTTTGATAATGGTACATAAGGAAAATGGTGTGTAGCTATGATTAAATAATGTCATTATTGAAGAAAGATGAATGTACAAGACCAGTCTGCATTGTTTTTGTACCTTCTGTGTGAGTCTAAAAGTATTTAAAAATCCAAGTTAAGCATGTGAAACAATTAGATTCTTGTACATTGCTCTTAGGAATGTAAACTGGGCAATCATTTCAGCAGATTCTTATTAAAACAAAAATAGGAAAGATAGATCTATCATAACCCAAGGGTACCATTTCTAGGCATTTTCTCAAAGGAATGAAAACTTGTGTTCATGAAATACTGGTTTAAGAATGTTCATAGCAACATTCTTCATAAGAGCAATCAATAGAGAAATTGCCCACAAAGAAGAGATTAAATCAACTGTGCTGTACACATACAATGGAATATTAATCAGGTATAAAATTGACTGAATAATTAATTATATAATTATACACAAATAAACATTGATCACATTATGCCTAGCAAAATTTCCAGTCATAAAATGGTGCATACTGTTTGATTCCATTTATGTCAAATTCTAGAATAGGCAAACCTAACCATGGAGAAACCAAGGAGAAAAGCAGTCATAATTATGGAACAGGAGTTGTTTGGACAATAAGGGTCTTAATTCAGAAAGGAAGAAAATGTTCTATTTCTTGAAAGGAGTGTGGTTTTCAAAGCTGTTTGTAGTTTTCAAGTCTCCTGTAATTTGATACTTTCCTGCCATTTATTTTATATTACAATTTATACTTCAGTAAAAAATAAAGTGTACAGATATTAATCAAATAGGGAACAAAAGCAAAGTAACAGAAGGGGAAATCCAAGGCTCATTATTTTTGAAGAAATAAAAAAATATTTGGTAATGTTGATAATGGAAAACAGAAAATAGGGGCTGAATGATGGCCCCTAAGCTGCCCATGTCATAATCCCCAAAGTTTGTGAATTTCTAGCTTTACATGGTGTATTAGATTCCCAAGGCTGTCATAACAAAGTGCCACAGATTGGGGGAGTCAAAACAATAGAAATTCGTTGTCTTACAATGCTCGAGGCAAGACATGTGAAATAAAGTCTATGCCCCTTGAAGACTTTAGGGAAGGTCTGTCCCAACATCTCTGCTAGCTTTGGTAGTCTCAAGCTTGTAGATGCTCATGTTCTTCCTGGGTATTTTCCCATCATTCTCTTGTGTGTGTGTCCCTGTCTCTTCACATGATATTACATTTTTTATAAAGGCACTAGTCATATTAGACTGAGGATCCAGTTTACCCCAGTATGACCTCATTGAAACTAATTATATCTGCAAAAATCTTATTTTCAAATTAGATGACATTCATTAGTAATCAAAATTAGGACTTCAACATACTGATTTGGAGGGACACAATTCAACAGAATACCATATGGCAAAAGGGAACTTGCAGGAGTGATTAATTCAAAGATCTTGAGATGGAGAAATTATCCTGGATTACCCAGTGGACCCAGACTAATCACAAGGAGCCTTATAAGAGAGAGACAGATAGTAGAATCAGAACAGCAACAACAAAACCCCTGCAATGAATGTGGAAATGAAGACAGCCTCTAAAATTGGAATTCAAATGTTGGATTATTCCTTCATTTTAGCCTAAAGAGACTGACTTAGGATTTGTACCCTTTAGAATTCTAAGAGAATAAATTTGTGTTGTCTTTTGCCACCAAGTTGATGATATATCCTCATTGGAAAACTGGAAAACAAATAAAAACAGTGATATGAAATACTGAAAAGCAGACAAATCTGTAGTGGAAGTTAAAAATTTTAAGAGGGGACTGGGAAGATGGCGGCGAGGGGAGTGCATTGCCCCCGTGTGCTGCTTCACTGTGTGGGAGTATGACAAGTCAGGACGGCTAAAGGCTGTCTTGTTAGGAATTTCCAGCAATAGTGGGGTGCTCCGGAACCTGGAGGAAGGATTTCCATCGCACGAGGATTGGCTACGGGGACTCAAACGCGAGAGGTTTGTCGCACGGAGGGTAACACTGCTTATTCAGCAAATCGCCCCGCGGCTAGAGTCTGCAGCGCACGCTGGGAAACGAGGAGATAGCGACGCAGGGATACAGCGCTGCAGTTTCTGCCAGCCGTGCAAGCACCGTACTCAGGGCTGAATTCTGGGTTCAAGATGGGGGAAGGAAGCGGTCCATCTCGGTTCTCCACACCGGTCAGACCAAGAGGAGGCCAGCGGCCACCATGTTGGAAAGCTGACGTCACCATCCCTGTTTTCGACTGACCGCAGCTCATTCAGCCATAGAACAGGTAATTTCAGGCTGCCATTCGCCTGTGGCTTGCAGACAGATTGCTTGGGCTCAGTGCCTGGGTGCTTCCTAGTGCCTGCTCTTATCGGAGCGAGCACCGAGTGCGGGGCGGCAGAGTTCCGGCTCCCGAAACCGCCCTGGCCCAGGGCTGGGGAGCCTGCGGAGGCTGCTTCTTGGAGTCTGCTCTTATCAGAGCATACACCGAGCACGGAGCGGCCGAGTTACGGCTCCCAGAACTGCCCTGGCCCAGGGCTAGGAGCCTGTGGAAACTGCTTCTCTGTCCGGGTCCTGCTGAGGGCCGGTCAGGACTCACCCGTTGCTTTAGTTGCCCGGCAAGGGGAACGAAATGCTGCCATTCGCATAGGATACCAACATGGCAGAGATCTGATGTCATCAGAAAGCGGCGGAGGAGAGAACTTCATCAATACCAGCGGCGACAGAAACAGTTGGTCTCCTGGTAAGGGGGATGAGGCACAGACACCTGAGTCTCTCTCGATTTGTCGTCGAGCCAGAGGGGAGGAGCCGGGCTGCCAGCGCCCTGAGCAGGCCCAGTGGCTCGCCGGCGTGGTGACCGCGTGACCCCAATTGGAGAGGGGGAGGAGCGGAGCCGCCACCCGCACCCGCAAGGTGGGCAGACCCGCGACCCAGTGGTACACGGGCGTGGTAGGAAGGGCAGGGCAGAGCCCCCGCCCGCACTTGCAAGGTAAGCAGACCTGTGACAGACTGGCGGGTCAGGCCCAGCGGCCTGCCAGCGTGGTACACACGTCACCCCAACTGGAGTAGGGGCAGAGCAGATCCTTCGCCCACGCCCGGATCAGGCCCTGCCGGTGTGGTGGTCACGTGACCCCAATTGGAGTGGGGGCGGAGCGAAACCACCACCCATACCCCCAGGGTGAGCAGACCTGTGACCAACCTGCAGATCAGGCACAGCGGTCCGCAGGCGTGGTAGGAAGGGGAGGGCAGAGCCGCCGCCTGCGCCTGCAAGGTAGGCAGACCTGCTACAGACCGGCAGATCAGGCCCAGGAGCCTGCCAGCGTGGTAGCAGAGTTGCCGCCCGTGCCAGGAACAGGCCCAGCGACCTGCCAGCAGGGTAGTCACAACACCCCAATTGGAGTAGGGGCAGAGCAGAGCCACCACCCGTGCCCGAAAGGTGGGCAGATCTGCGACCGACCAGCGGGACAGGCCCAGTGGCCTGCCGGTACGACAGACACGTCACCCCATTTGGAGTAGGGGCAGAGTAGAGCCGCCGCCCGCGCCTGCAGGGTAGGCAAACCTGCAACCGACCGGCGGATCAGGCCCGGTGGCCTGCCGGCGTGGTACACTCGTCACCCCAATTGGAGTAGGGGCAGAACAGAGCCGCCGCCAGCGCCCAGAAGAGGCCCAGTGACCTGCCGGCGTGCTAGTCACGACACCCCAGTTGGAATAAGGAGAGAGCAGAGCCGCCACCCGCGCCTGCAGGAAAGAAACGCAAGCAGTATGAAAAGACAAGGAAAGAAAGGACCACAAGCAATGCAGGTCAACGCAACTTTAGAAGAGGTAACAGCTGCAGCAGATGGAATGTCAGATAAAGAATTCAGGATATACATGCTTCAGATGATCTCGAGTATCAAGGAAGACATTAGACAGCAAAATCAGACAATGAAAGATCACTTCGACAATGAATTACACAAACAAATCCAGGAAGCAAAGGATCAACCTTACAGGGAGATAGAGGTTATAAAAAACAAACAAACAGAAATCCTAGAAATGCAGGAAGCAATAAACCAACTTAAAAACTCAATGGAGAATACTACCAGCAGAGTAGAACACTTAGAAGATAGAACATCAGACAATGAAGACAAAGTATTTCAACTGGAAAAGAACATAGACAGCTCAGCAAGACTGTTAAGAAACCATGAGCAGAACATCCAAGAAATATGGGATAACATTAAGAGACCAAACTTAAGAGTCATTGGGATACAGGAAGGTACAGAGCTCCAAACCAAAGGAATGAGCAATTTATTCAATGAAATAATATGAGAAAACTTCC